ATTATTATAAGTTTATTTTGTTGATCACAGTGGTCAGTAGCTATTCAATTTTTTTCATTCTCTTTTTTTATTTTATTTAAATTATCTGAGATCAAAACAACTATCAACTTATTATTATTACTGCAAACATATAATCTTTGGCCCACAATTTTACTTAAATACGACTGTATTAAATAAATTGTATCACTTAAAATATCTAAAATTAAAGCTTGCATCTTTTTAAAAAGTATTTTGGATTTATTGCTTTTAATTTTATTTTGTGGACCTGGGTGTTATAAAAGGTTTGTTCGATGCAATTTTTTTTTGTTAAAACTGCCGATACTCTTGCTGGACAGAGTATTTTTGTTGATTTTTATATTATAATAATAAGTTTTTAATTTTTGTTTTTCTTTGTTTTTAGGCGCTGGAATTGGAACAGTATTCGGTTCCCTAATCATTGGTTACGCACGTAATCCATCACTCAAACAACAACTTTTCTCTTATGCCATTTTGGGATTTGCTCTGTCTGAAGCCATGGGTCTCTTCTGTCTCATGATGGCTTTCTTATTGTTGTTCGCTTTCTAAGTCGTCTCACGATGTCTTTCGTCATTCATTAAGCAAAAAATAAAAAAACATCCCATAACATAAAACCAACAAGGAATTTTTTTAATTCTGTTCAAAATTGGCACGATCGAAAGAATTGCGAAAGACTGTTGTCTGTGAAATACACTTTGATAGGGAATTTACCTGTAATGAAATAGATAATAACTTTAAGACAGCACTTAGGTGTTTATGAAACTGCCTCATATTGTAGACGTATTAAATGCCTAGGTTGGAATACTGTTTTTTTTTTTTTGGTTTTTCCTATTTTGTATATTTCACAGATATATAAATAGAATAAATACTTATTGTAGAATCCATTTATTTATTCCTTTTTTTTTTTTACTGACTTTTTTTAAGAATCTGTTGGTGAATTTATCTCAATTAAAAATAAAAATTATTTTTTGCTGTTATCAGTTTTGGCTTTAGGTACCAATGTTACATGTTTTCTATAAAACGTAATATACAAAGATTTAAAAAAAATTTGTTTCTTTGATTAAGTTGATAATTTTAATTTAAAGTTTGTTTCATGGGAGAACACCTTGCATTTGCTATCTGTCTTTAAACACACACTTATGACAACAAATTTTTGTTCACTAGTTTTAATAGTGCTGTTAGTTTTGATATTAAAGGGAATTGACCTATTATCAAACTTTCAATTAAGAACATTTTTTTTTTTTTTATTATAAAAGCCGCTAGTAATTAAGAACATTATTTGTACTTAAAGTTAGCTTTTATTTAATATTTTCGAGCGAGATTGACATTTTTAATTTTTCATATTTCATATACCCGTATCTTGCTTGAAAATTAAAGTATCTAAAATCTGTGATGCTTCGGCACAGATAATTTCTTACATGAAAGTTCGGATTAAAGGTAAATTTACTCTACCATCAAAACTAACGGGACATTATTGAACTAGTAAGCAAAAAATTGCTATGTAGTATGTTTGCAAGTTTGAAACATTTAACGTATGGGTTGCATCCTTTTCATGTATTTTAATAATAATACAAAAATATACAAAAGTGATTTTAGTTGGGTATTATTTTGGTTGAAGTAATTAAATGTTAAGACTGCTCAATTGAATAAAAGGTAATAATCTTGCAAATTATAGGAAACTTTCAAATCACTAAAAAATAGAATTATTAAGAAAATTGTTCATATTAATGACTAAAAGAAAGATACATTCATAAATGTATAGTTATAACTTATAACAGTCTTTGACCCAAGGTTATTTACAAGTATAATTGTATAAATAGTTTGAGCTGCATACATATATTTATGATAGATAAGCAATTAAAAAATATTCAAATATAGTTAATATTTATTATTTAGTAACTGCTACTGAGGCATGGTTTGTGTGAATCATGATTAATGAGTTAAGTTATAAATATTTTCTCAGCAGGTATTACAAGTCTATAAGAACAAATAATTTTTAATTTTGATACTTGAAAAATTTGTTCTTACAAGTAACCTTAAACCCAAAAACCTAAATATTTTATTAACACAATTTTTTTTTAAATATTTAAACACATTTTAACTTCCTACTGGATATTATATTTAAACCTATTAATTTTAACTATCTTGTAATTCAAGTGTTATTTGTGGATTTAGTTTTGCCTCGAAATTGTGTTTGGTATGATTGCAAATGTAGAATGATAATGGTGTATCATTGAATTCTAATTTAACCAGGGCTTAAAACCGTTTACCGGTTTTTCACGATAACCGTTAAAAACCGTAAATTTTAAGAACTCTAAACCGTTTACCGGTTTTATTTGCAGTATGGAAAGCGGATATCGGTAACCGAATAACAAAAGTTTATAAAGTCGTATACCAAAAATCAATTATCACCATTTCTGAAAATCGTTCATTTAGCGATACCCGGTTACCATTATAATGCGGAAAAGATTTTTTTGTTCCAATTACCAATCATTTATTGTTATTTCAGTTGATATTTTATTTGTAGAAAAATATTTACCTGTTATATTGAACTTATAAGTGTATGATATAATTATATATTATACACAATCACAATGTCAAAATATACGTACACCGGGTACACGCCATGCGCCAATACCTACGCCATACGGGTAATACTAATATGTTTATGAATTTATGATGTATATTAAAAACAATATATTTATAGCTGTGCTGATTAGTGATTATTTCATATTACTGGTATTCCCCTATTTGGCCATTTCTCGTAATACAGTAATTCGTAATTCGTAAATGCATTTTGTCTATGTTGCGCGCGTGGCCCGGATAGAGAAGACAAATGGTGCGCCGACATCCTCTTAAGACAGTTAAAAGTATATACAGATATATCTTAGTCCGTGTTATAAACACATTATAAATAATTCGTTATTGATAAGTGATAACAAAAAACATTTTGTGAAAAACGGTAATTAAACCGGTTAAAACTTAAAATCGGTAACCACTACATTATTATGGTGTAGGGTAACTGGTAACCGGTTATCAAAAAATTGATTACCTATAACTTCAGAAACGGTTTTAAGCCCTGAATTTAACACATCCATGATCAAACAATGACCACAAACTAAGATATTTAAATGGACTAGACAATATGGTATATCTATTCAATGGTTTAAAATTAAGCCACCCTTCGAGTAGTTATAGTTAAGGTCCTATGGCTATAACATTATAACACATGGATTTGTGAGGCCTACTCTCTATCCCTCCTCTCCGTGGCAAGGCCTATTCAAATAATGATGGGATACCCTCGACAGTCAGTAATTTTCCATTTGACCGGACACCTTTTTTTTTAATTAACGTATGTAATTAATCATACTAAAACGATGGTGAATTCAGAATTTGGAGCTCGGAGCTTTCGAACTTTTTGAAATTATAGCTAATTAAAATGTCATATACATGCTGCGGACGCCTGATTACTCACTCGCTCGGACTGTTATATTGCCATTGTGTATGTGTCTATTAAATTTTGCAACATAGAACAATAATATATTATTATGTTAAAAACAAACATTGCTCTTGTAGCTATTAATTAATTAATGCATCATTAAAAAGTATGAGACGCGTGACTACCTAAAAAATACTCATAAGTTATTAAAACATAACTTTTCTTAAAATACAATAATAATAAAAATGTTATTGATAATTTTGCGTTATGACACTACACTGTCAATTCAAATGGAAAACGTCACTCGAGTTAGTAAAACCACCTTAGATAGGTTTCGACTTCAAATCTAAGTCTGAATTCCGACTTCACTATCGTTTTCAGCATACTTAATTGTACCATTGATTATAAATACTAGTATTTATAATCAATGTTATAACTTAAAAAATATAATTAGTAGATAGGCAGGGCCGAATTGGTATGAATCGGTCAATCAAGATTTTCACTTCTCAGCTGTCTATTTACATATTCGTTGGCTCAAAATTGCGTCTAAAATTGTAACGATGTTGTATTGGTAGTTAATTTTATTTTAATCGGCCTTGACGGTACCGTATTACTCTTAAGTACCTATGAATGTAACCCGTAGTTACCTAATCCTAAAACCTAATATATTACTAATAGCCAATAGGTATGATTTATAAATTATAATACATTGTATTTAAATATACAAATTACAAACACGTACAAATAGATTTGAACGATAGGGAACTATTCGTGTTAAAAAATCGTTTACCAGTTAGCCAGAACTGAGCATGTCAGGGTCGAGTGTTAACGATTTTCATACATTTTTTACGGCATTTGGTACTTAAAATATTAGACTTGATAAAAATAGAATTTTTTTCTACTTGAAATCGATATAAGTATCAACAAACATGATCAATAACGATCTGCATTATTTTAAGTCCAATCATGAGAAATCTATTTTTGGATCGAAACATGTTCCATGTTTGATGTTCGTAAAGTGTCATCCCTTTTCATTTTTCATTATGATATTTTTAGAAATGTATACATCTTGATAAGGTGATTTACCTAGGTACTTGTACTATATATTTTTTACGATTTATTATTTAATATTTGATACTAAATAGTAAAGACCATAATAATATGTCACATGACGGGCACGAACTTGTTTATTTATAGGTATATTATCATGCTAAAGACTATACACGATAAGCACCCTTCGTGTTTCTTAATATTTAAAAATCGTTCTAGCTTTGTCGATTTGACGCATTTTTTGCACTGGATATCATTTAGGAACTTTTGATCCCAGGTCCCAAATTCGACTTTGCTTGTAAATTTGTACAGATGTGGCATGTAAATTGTAAGTGTCATCCTACGACTGCGATTACAACGATTTGATTCAATTTTTGAAATTTCCCGCTCCTACTTTCACTACAGTGGTTGTCAACCTTTGTTTTTATTTATTTTTTCGTCGGTTTACGAGCACCCACTGTCTATTTCTTATCACGGGTGGTGTACTGGTGTTCGCCGTTTAGGCCAATCGATGAAAAAAATATCATTCACCTACCAAAGAGTGAAGGGCAAGGAATACTGTCAAATCTTTTTGCTGTCAAGTCTGTCACTTTTGTCGTTCACTACATACCAAAAGCTACCATGACTAACTTAGTCACCAAAAGTTCGTATATGCTGGAAAAGTTGGGCAAGAAGAGCCCCAGGGTAAGTGCATCATCTTCAGTGACATTGTGTGTATTACATTTTTGGTCCTCTGACATTTTCAACGGGCACTTAAAATCAAGTATCCCTGAAATTTGGCCTAGATGTAAATATACTAGCACTCTGGACTAGCCAAAGTGACACTGAGTTGGCAACTCGCTCCCATATGATAAAGCAATATCAATCCCTGTCTAACCTTTAATATGTTTCGATAGCTTTTCGCAGCGTCATTGCCTGCATGCCCTTTATGGAGTAACAGTCAGCAGCGTCGCAACCTCAACGTACATGAACATGTCAGCTATTCGCTGCTGAAAGGTGCTGGTATACCTGTGCCTAAGTTTGGTGTAGCCAAGACTGGTAAGGAAGCAGCCGAACTTGTCCGAAGTCTGGGACTCACAGATATTGCAGTCAAGGCTCAGGTGTTAGCTGGTGGTCGAGGTTTAGGTCATTTCAAAAAGGGATTCAAAGGCGGTGTTAAAATGGTTGACACGTTAGTTACAATTATACCCAATGATAATATTATTTATGTGTTACATACAATACAAATTTTATGAATTCAGGGCAGAAGAAGCTGAATATGTATCAGGTCAGATGTTAGGAGATTTTTTGATCACAAAACAAACTGGAGAGAAAGGCCGTATCTGTAATGCGGTTATGGTAGCTGAACGTGTGTATGCTAGAAAAGAATTTTATTTTGCTGTCATGATGGAAAGAGCATTTGGTGTAAGAGAATAAATCAATTAAAATAATTAAGTCATCATAAGAAATATAAACTGTCTATAGATATTCATTAAACATTCATATTTTTAATAGGGCCCAGTTTTGATAGCGTCTTCTCAGGGTGGTGTAAACATAGAAAAAGTTGCTGAAGACAATCCTGAAGCAATTTTATACATGCCCATTGATATTACAAAAGGTAATCATTTGTTATTAAACTCATCAGTTAATATCATGTTTTATTTTGTTCTGTTATTAACATTAATTTATTAGTATTGCAAACCCAGTCATTTTTAAATGAGTCATTAAATATTATCTATTTAATATACAAAATAATAATAATAATTCATATTTTAATAAAACTAAAACAATATTATGTACTTAATTTAACAACAACATTATTATTTAAATTATCTATTTTAAAATGATTGCTAAGTCATTTTAAGCATTTGAATTTAACCTATAAGGTCAATTAATTATAAAGAATGAAGATAGGCAAATAAAATAATCTCGATTATGAATCAATATTTTTATAATATAAACTTTGTATTTAAGTAAAATAGATTATTTTATCTATAATATATTAGTAAATATATATATATATTTATTGTTTATACTAGAATTTAATTGAATATGATTTGAATTAAAAAATTTAATTTACTTGTTAGTGGGACATGGATTTTTTAAGTAAATGTATCGTTTTAATCAGTGAAGATATCTAATTCTTAATTCTAAGTAAAATTAACAAGAATCTTAATTTCATACTCACATCATATATTAATATTCAGTAATACTAATAGTAGGTATATAAACTTATAAGCTTATAGTTATTTACTTTTGTTTATAAATATTAACTAATAATTTTACCTAATAAATTTCCAATAAAGGCTTAAGTTAATAGTTAGCTACTTTGATGAATAATATATTTATTGTTATTAGGTATATCTAGAGAACTGGCTTTAGATGTAATCACCAAAGTTGGATTGACAAAAAAAAAAGATGAAACTGCAGATGTAATTTTGAAGTTATATGACTTATTTCTTACCAAAGATGCTCTATTAATTGAAGTTAATCCTTATGCTGAAAGTATTTCTACCGGGGGATGTAAGTAAAATATTTTTTTATACAATTAATTAAGCTACAATTTTTTTTTTTTTGTTATGTAACAAACATACTATGTTATATTATTTTTTTTAAGATTATTGTTTGGATGCCAAATTCCGATTTGATGATAACGCAGAGTATAGGCAAAAAGAATTGTTTGATTTGCGCGATTGGACTCAAGAAGATGAAAAAGAAGTAGAAGCTTCAAAATTCAATCTTAATTATATTGCACTAGATGGTAATTAATTAAAATGTACATAATTATTAATTATATGTCAAAATTGATTGTTATATAATTTGCCATTATAATTATTTCAGGTACCATTGGTTGTTTGGTAAATGGTGCTGGTTTGGCAATGGCTACTATGGATATAATTAACTTGCATGGTGGATTCCCAGCTAATTTCTTGGATGTTGGAGGTGGTGCTACTGCTTCTCAAGTGAAAGAAGCTTTTAAAATCATCACATCAGACCCTAAAGTATGAATTTTGTTTAACTACCAATAGTAAATGGGGCTTTCTTCAATAAAATTATAGAGTTCATAGTCAAATTTATTAATTATGGAATTATATTAAAATGATTTAAGCTGAAGAGTTTGAATTGAAACTGAGTTTATCATTAATTTTTGAATTATTATAGGTATGTGCTATTATGGTGAATATTTTTGGTGGAATAATGAGATGTGATATCATTGCTGATGGAATAATTGCGGCAGCTCAAGAGTTGAATCTCAATGTACCAATCATTTGTCGTTTACAGGTATATTATTGTATTATAAATCATAATTAATATGTACTATTACAGTTAGATGTAAAAGATATTTAACCTTTTTTTTAACTTATAGGGAACAAATGTAGATGAAGCAAAACTTCGCATTGCAAACTCTGGTATGAAAATTTTGCCAGTAGACAATCTAGATGAAGCTGCTCGTTTGGCAGTTAAATTGTCTGAAATTGTGAATCTAGCTCGTGAACAACACTTGGGTGTCAATTTTGAAATGCCCATCTAAAAAGGAAAATAAATAATCTAACAGTAATTATTAATATTATGTTAACTAATACTTGTTCTTGAAAGGCTATTGCACATTTGTCTTCTAATTACTACACAATACAGATCAGTAAAATACATTTTATATTCTCACTCAAAGCTTAAATAAATTATTCAGAAGAGACATAAATATGCTTTAACGTTTCCCTTTTATTATTTTATTTGTTGTTGGACACCCTTGAATTAAATGGTTTTTGGTTTCTTATACTCTTAAAAATTCATAATAAGTATGGCTATTGTTTTAATAATATTTTTCTTTTGTTGTTTTTGTCAGATAAATTGTTTTATATAATATTATAGATAATTTATCCCTATAATTTATACATCTAAAAAGTTATTCTAATAATGTTCTTTTGTATGATAGTTACCTTTATGATTAAGTGTTACTAATGATTTAATTTTGTGACATAATTTAACAACTAAACCAATTCATTGTATAGTATTAATTTTAAAATAAAAAAAAAGAAAGTATTATTGCTGTTTAAAAGTCTCCTTAAATTATAAAATGAACAATTTGTAAAGATTTATTCCCGCTAACAGCTTTTTGAAACAAGAAGGCACAGATAAATTAATGTCCATGCTATAGAGTTAATCTTATAGTCAGTTGTGAATGACACGCTATGTTATCTTTGATTGTATTTCATAAATTGTTCCTTAAAAAAATGAAAGTTTACTTATTTTTAGCTTAGCTAATTTAGGTATCTTTTTTTAATTATTAAGTAAAATTATACATAAACGATAATGGCTGTAGATACTTAGACCACCATTATCTTATTATTATTACTATTGTTGTTGTTAATTCTACATAATATTATTGTAAATTGTCATGAATATAATAGATATTAAATAATAATAAACAATTGTTATAATGTGAATATTATTATTGGGTCATTATGTTTTTAATCATTGTTTCTATAGAAATTAGGATATGTGAAGATTTATTCAGTGGTATTATAGAAAAAAATAGATATAGTTTTTACCAAATTGAAAACGAAAACCCTGAGAAAGGTTTTTTTATGTCACCACCGATGTCGTTAAGGATTGAAAATGAATAACAATTTATTTTTTCCATTTTTCACTTTACGAGTGAGGATGTTAGCTCAATATTTGTTTCCTCTCTCAGAGTCATGACGTGTAACATAGATTAAACGCACTCGCATAAAATAATTTATAAATGTTTTTTAGTAATCTTAGAGTAAAATCACCTACTGTAAAAATTATAGTGAATAATATTATTAGGAGTTTGACTAATCGGTATTCGGTTTTATATTTTATTATTATTTGATATTAGAGGTGTTCGACTTTTCTATAAAAAAATCGCAAAATTAGATTGATATTAAACTGTTTTGAGCCAATATTTAGACAAATCATTGTGTCATACCTTTTAAAAGTGATAATAGCATTTTACCCAAGATCACTCAAAAACATAACAAAAAGTATATGTGAATGTGTTGTCTATGTTGCCCCGGCCAAAGAGAAACCAAACAAACAACAGCAGCTAGCAGCATGGGCAGGTACCGGATAGGTACTTTTTTTCTATCAGGATATATTTATTAGGGCTACATATAACTAGGACCAATCACCAATAAAATATATAAAAAAAAAATGCTCACAATACTTTTTACAATCAAATCATATTATATACTATACACAATTAATTGTCAAAAAAATATAGTATTTTATTATAATAACATTTTTTTATGTAAACTATTTAGGTACCTATTAATTATTATTAGAGCTGGGATTTGTTTGCATTTGTATATTTATTCTTGTTAATCGTATGGTGTGCTAAGTAAGCACAAAATTTGTTTCATGACAACAATTTAAAAAATGAAACTTTTAGATCTTATTTTTGAATACTTCGACATTTTTCTATTTTAAGAGCTTATTTTACAATTTTAATTGCATATTTCATCTTTTAGTGCATATTTCGATGTTTTTTGTTGTTTGAGACATTTTTGAAATATAATATAGTATTATAATATAAGAAAAAATATTATATTTTTATAGTATCGATTATTAACATCATAATAAATTAATAGGTTGCGTTATTTATTTTAGGTTCCTTTTTTATATAAATTGATTTATATTTTTTTCTTATAGATTAAAACTACCTACAAAATAATGAAAGTGAAGAAAAAAATTAAGAAAAATAGATAAGTATTTATAGTAGGGTTTGATAATTTGTTTAAAATATATTGGATTAATTAAATGTTTAAAAAAAATATTTTTTTTTGCTAATTTTGTTATGCATAGATTTTATTTTTTATTTTTTTGTGCATATTTTAACATTTTAGTGCATATAGCATATGTTTATGCATATTTAAGATTTTTTTAGCGCAAATTTGGTTGGTTATTAATGCATTTATATCCGTGCTCTAATTATTATTATGGTTGTTTATTTTTGTCATTCGAACATCAAACATATTTATTTATATTTACATTACATTAATACATTATTTAGTTTTAGTACAATAGAGTATAGACAATAGCTCATAGGTACAACAAAAAAGGTACATATTTATTATTTGTACGCCTATCAATGGGTATTATACAGAGGCAACTAATGGAGTGTATATTACAAATATTCAATGATCAATATTCAATACAACTGTACAGCTGTTAGGCGATATAATAAAAATTATTTAATTTTAATTTTTCGAGACTTGGACTTCTGAGTATACTGATGGGGACCTACCGGCTAAATTCCTATTTCCATGTGGTCCTATCCATGGCTAGCCGACACTCCCTTATTATTCACGTGTACAACACTATCGATCTGGTGTTGGAACAATATTACCTATTACAATTGTGTTTAATAACTTTCGTTGGCGTAACACAAAAACTAGATACGACCCCCCCCCCCCCCTGGTGAGGTTTTGGTATACATCCGAGTCCGACGACCAATAAAGCCCGGGATTCCCGAACAAGTATAATGGGCAATAGGTGTATGTACCTTGGTATATCTTTAATTCGTGGTTTCTTCGAGTCGCAACCTAACCTATAGGAACCCACGCTGTTTGTTTAGCAAGGATCCACGTGGCAACTGGTTTTTGGGTCAGGTCTCTGGAAGTCTGGACCAATATTCTTACGAAAGTTACCATAAGTTTTAAATACTCACGAGGCCACAACTAACTAGGTACCTTATTGACCTTATATCATGTACTTACCTACAAGGTTACAATCGATCGATCACATTGTACAAGAATGATCTAAGATTTAGAACCATAAATAAATAATTACTCATCCTGAACTAACGTTTTGTACAAAAAATCAACAGCTGTCCTAAAATGTTATACACACAGTCGTAGAAAATAGAACAATAACAAACGGTTGACAGTAGGTATTAATTACCTTTTATTTTGATTTATGATATTTTTTTCGCAGAGCAGAACAATAAAATGTAAACTTTGTCCAAATAAATAGTTGTTTTTGACTCTTGATTAAAAACTATTCATCGTCCGACGTCCATCAAGTATCAACATTTAGTTTCGGCACAGAATATACAATATATTAATTTGGTTTCAGGCGGGCATCGCAAGAATTTTGAAAATCGCTTTTTATTCTCTAAGAATTTACGATTTACATATTATCTAACAATATACAGGTACCTATCTATTATATAATATTATTTTATTTAATTCATAGGCCACAGCCAATAGGTAAATACATATTTAATTGAATAGTAGGTAATTAATACAAATTTAAGTTTCGTATGTAGGTCATAATATTTTAAAACTTTAAAGGTAAACACGATTTCAACCGACTACGATAATGGTCAAGAAACGTTATAACATTACAACGTCAAAACATATCATAATATATTTTTGATGTCTTTTAAGGTACACAGTTTAAGTCGATCATTACCGAATTTTATTTCTCTTTTCAGTCTATAGTCTAGAGTTCTAGAGGTTTCCTGATTATTTTTCGTAAAATCTCACGTGAAACGGTGAGACGCAGTTATTGTAGACGCATGTAAATAATGCCTTTTTTTCATGGAGACATGGACAGATTTTCGTATCCATGCTCGTCGTTATCAGGGCCGTTATCAAGCCCATTGTTTTGGTATTTACTATTTACATGACTGCAGCCGTGATCCGAACAAAATATTGTGTATCGCAATATTATTAATTTTTAACTGTTTAGACTAGGCGATAAGTTTGTCTGTTTGTGTTTATTTTTTTAAAAACTTTTTTTTGAATCCAAATCTGTGTTTGAAGACCGATCGAAGACGACCACTTAAACGTAAGTACACCAAGTCAGAGAGGCTTCCACTGTTTTCCCGTCGACAACGCTTCTGGTAAACCGTAACATATGTCTTCGAGATGCAAACGTTTTGCGACTCAAAATCGGTTAGAAGCCTTTTGAGTGTAAATTGTTTGTGATAAAATGCCCCAATCGTCAAAATGGTATGACTTTTTTGTGCTGCTTGACACTGTTAACAAGTGCATTGTTGTGCGTAGAAGAACCAAATAACCCCCAAAATAACATTTTGTTTGTAAGTCAGATTTCACAACAACGGTTATGTTTTTATACTAATATTATTGATGTATACAATCGACGATCGTCTACTTATTCAATAATTACTAATGCGGTTGGTTTGTTGACGGACATCATTTTTGTTTTGTTTTCTCATTGTGTGTAGGTACAATTTACTTGGTCAATTTTTTAAACTCATGCTTCAGTCAAATAAATTTTGTTTTATTTGTAAATATTGCACTTTTATTATTGGTTCTACTTATGCATTGACCATACTACCTAGTTGCATCATTCCTGTCACCACTACTTGTATTCTTCTTGTACAGTAATTTATTTACTATGCATTCATGTATAATAATATATTAATGCAACTTACATTTTACTATTTAATATATTTATATATATATTTTGATTATTTTAAGTGTTACCGCTAATTTTTACCTAGCCCATTTCCTATGTGGCATGGTTTTTCATTATAGTGACATTTTCACCGTTCAAAGCATAGCAACAAGTGCCAGTTGTTTATCGTTGTTTAATGGCATTTTTTGCCAAGGTTTGTCCAAAAGTTGCCATGTTCCTCGGTGCAATTGTTTTTTCTCAGTGATCCAAAAAATTGCTTACATATTCTGAAAAACTATTGCTTGAAGGTCGGTAGTAGAAAAAACTAATATAGGAACTTAATTTAATCTAATTAATAGAAATGATGCACAAGGGTAGTAAAAAATTTCATTTAAGCTTCAATTATTTAGATATTATTATAGATGGTAGGTATACTAAAAATTAATTACATTTTTGCTTTGGCATTGAAACATTTTTATTTATTTTTTTTTAGATCTAGGTTATTCAATTATTGATAATGGGCGATGAGTAATAATTTCTGCAAATAGTCAAACAACTTCAAAATTCTTTCTCAAAGCTATGTTTTCATCAGGTAAGCTAATTGTTCTAATAACTTAGGTTTGTATGTTGTCATCTTAAAGTAACATTTTTTTGACACAATACAATTTATAATTTTAAAATTCTCATAACTTGCTTTACAATAAAAATATTTAAAAAAACGCTAAGACAGGCACCTAAATAATAATTCTTCCTAAAATTGTAAATTGGTCAATCCGCTCCAATATAACAATTAATTTTGTGAAATGGATGTAATCAATGATGTAAATTTGTAAG